GTCGGCGTGTAGTTCAGCTGTCTGCTGTGGCTCGGGGCAGAGGGACAGCTGGGACAGCAACTGCTTTAGCAATCCAACTTTAATCTGCCTGCGTCCGTGAGTCAGCACCCTCTGAGTGCATCTGTCTCCAGCACCGAGGCTGGAGTGGCACGGCCTTGCTTTACAAACCAGACGACTGGAGGGGGGGAAGAGTAGGCTCAAGTGAGCTGTTAAGCAATCACTAATGACACAAAGTGACACAGCTCCAGCTTTGCATGAATTGAGTAAGGAGTCATAAGATGAGGCAAAATGTTCATTTAAACATGGCTTGTTCAGTGACTCCCAACTGCAATGGCTGATTTTGAAACCCAGGAATCTGAGCACCATGTGTTCCTGGGTGAGCCCAAAGGTGCGAAGTATGTCCCACCAGCACCTTTTCCTTCCAATTAATACATTTCCCTGATGCAAGCACTGTGAAGAGTTGCAGCCCTTTCTTGTAGGCACACTGTGCTGGCTGAGCGACAGAGCTTTGTGACAGATACACCCGAGTTTTGGATTTGCCCACAGTGCATGCCAGATGCAGAGTGAAATGTTTGAGTACTCTTCTGCTGACTGCTTCCCTGACATAGAATGCTATTATCATTAACAGGCAGACCAGCAGCCAAACCCCTGCCTCCACTCCCACATCACACACCAGAGATCCAAAGTGCCAGACACCCAGAGGGAGGAACAAGTCCATGCACTCACCCACCACAGTGGACATGAAGAAGGGAGCAAGCCAGACAAGGAGCCAAGCCATGGGCAATGGTAGCAGCCAGGCCATGAGCCCAGTTATAGAGCAGGGACTCAGAGACAGCTTCAGGTTCTGGCCCTGCTGTACTGGGAACTCCACTCGCCACAAAGTCCTTCCAATAACCAGAATCCCCAGACAACACAGGCACTGCATAGACAAACCTCCCAACTCCACTGCAAGCAGGATCAGCTCTTATAGAGGTGGCTTCTTGCCCCACCTCCAGGTTAATGTGGAAGGTGGGTGCACCTGGTGGTGATCTCCTAATAAGCTGCCACCCAAGGCTGGCCAGACTCAGGGTAAAAACCGTTCAGGAGAGTCTTTCTTGCCTGGTTATGGACATCATCCATATGCCAACCCTCATTCAGGACTCGGGGCTTAACGCCAGCACTTTAAGATATCCCTTCCCTGGACCAGGCAGGACAGAGCAAACTCCCCGTGGGAGATCAAGCCTTGATCCTTCTCACCTATGATGGAAATGAGTCCGTACTTCCCTGCTCCTTACTTTTTTACCAGTGGCAAACTTACATTGTGCAACCCCACCCATGCCACAATTAGATTTTTGGGTCCAAAAAGCATCTGGGAGGGTAATTTGGTGGGATTTTTAGGTTCACATTGGTTAAACTTGGAAATGTGTGTAAAATAAATATGTAGTAATTTTCCTATCACTCCAGTTTGGAAGGAGAAAATTGCTTTACTGAACTCAGGATCCAGAACTGTTTGCTGGCTCATTTGTTATCTTTGCTTGTAGCTACAGGTATTGGCTGCATGCACCTGCACTAGCCAGAGCTTCATCTGTGATCCAGTAGATGGACTGTTTACCTGTGCCAGGTAGTAAGATGGGAAGGCCATGATAAAGCAAGCTGTGCTGGGAGGATGGAGGTGGAGGGTTAAAATGACCATGACTTAAGTAAACTGCCTTGCAGTGATGGCTGTAAATGCTCCCTGTATTGTAAACATCTCTCTGTGCATCTAGTGGTGAAAATGTAAAAGGATTTGAAGTTGTGTTCACTTGCCACTCATCTGAATGCATTTCCATCTGCTATACCCTACACAGGGCTCCCGTCCCTCAGCAGCATCTGGCTAAATACCACCTGTAAAACTGGCTGTGGCCAGCCAAAGACACCCGCCGCCCTTTAGTGAGGCACCCACCCCTCTCCCCGCCCTTCAGCTCCCCTTTGGTTTATGGTAATTGCATACAGGAGGCTTTGTCCTTCCAACTCTGCTTTGCCCTCCTCTAAGTGAGGTTCGGGGGAAGCAAACCATCTCATTGGTATGGGTGGAGCTCTGCTACATGTCGCATCAATTCATAGATTTTTAGAGCCAGAAGGGACCGTTATGTTCCTCTCTCCTGACCTGCATAACACAGCCCATTAAACGCCACCCCGCCGGCTCGGTGACTTCTGGTTGAATTAGAGCACCTCTGGTAGGAAGACGCCCAGCCTTGATTTAAAGGCTTGGAGTGACAGACAGATCCCACCCCAGGCCTCAAGAAGTTTGTTTCGAGGGCTAACTCCCCTCCCGTGGGGAGGATGTCTTGCTTCACTTTCACATCATTAAATCTGGTTTTACCTTTCCAATAGATGAATGATTCCTCTCTTCCCACTTTGTGTTCTCTAGAGGAGAGAGATGATGGAGAAGTGAAATTCTCCAAGGGTACATCAGGGAAGGTGGGTCCAAGGCCCTGCTCTGACCACTGGTGCTGGATATGGGGACTTTTGTCCTTCCCCCACCGCAGCTCTATGGAGAACGTCTCTCCTTGCCCTTGGGGAACGCTTGCCAAAGCCTCACACAGCCTCCATTATCCTCCCCCGCCATGCTGCTTCTTGCACATTAATGACTTTTTCTATGTCAAAAATATAACTGATCACCAGACTTTTTTAATGAAGTGTACTGGGACGGGACCAGCCCACTCAGACTCACCCCCTGCCCCACAGGGCTCGCTCTTCTGCAAAAGCAAAAGACAGTGGCTGTTGCATTCCCTGTTTCTTTTTTGAATTTCACCCAAAAGGGGTATTTGCAATATCTGGTCATGTTGTTACTCAGTGTATAATTTAGATGTCTTTGTCAAAAAAAAAAAAAAAAAAAAAACAAGGAATAAATTAAAGTTTAGTAGAAAGACAACTTGTGTTTGGGGGTGATCCTTTTTCTTTGAGAGGCTCATTTTCCCAGCAGTCAGTCGAGGGCTGCCTCTTCCCAGGAGCTGCCGGCCAGTCTGTGAAGCTGCTCTTCTACCACTCCCTCTGGCTCCCTGCTGGAGGTGGTCACCAGTACTAGAAGTGGTCAAAACTGCTGGAAGAAACCTTTTCCTGTTGGATTTTCTCTTGTCTGAAACTATGAGAACAACCAGCCAGCAAGAAAGGCAAACTTCGGGAGGATTTTCTTGTTTCAAAAAATCATTTTGTAGGTTAAATAGAAGCGTGTCATGAAACACATTCCCCACAAACCTGGCAAGAAAAGGGAAGGCAAAAAAGAAAAGCAGCAAACGATTTGGGTTTGGTTCAGCAAAGTGGGGCTTGGAGAGGGTTCCAAGGGAGGGAAGTGAATTCTGGGGGTTGTTTCTTTCCAACTAATTTGACTCGTTACTCTTCCTGCAATGTCGGGACCAGCCAAAAAGTGAGAAACTGTTAGAGCTCTTTAAAGCATCAGCTCCCTCCCTGCAC